CTATGAATAAGAATATTCGTGGAACACTGAGGTTACTATGCTGGAGTGCGAGGAAAAAAACATTGACTGAAATACGCGGCAACTGAGGCCCGACATACTGAGAACAATGGGAAGGACGTTATTGCACAATCCCACAATGCCACAATCTTAAGTACCGAAACGAGGGAGACGTCTCCCTTCACGCTGCATGACATAACGAACGCTCAACAGCACTGTCCCAGCAGTGCTAAAGCCGACTCGGCTTAAAGATTACTCTGAGATAGACAACATCCAACATCTGTCATGTGATTGTCTTACGACTCCAAATATAGAGATTTAATTTAATTTCTCATGGCCTCTTGGGCTGCTGGTACAACAAGATTTATTGTTTTACAGAAATCTAATACAGCCGTCGACTTCAAATGAAAAGTTTTCATGATGCTTGCAGGCATCTCAAGAGATCTAACTCAAGATAGATCTATGTACGTCCAAGGCTTCCTGGAACTAAAGGCATACAGTGCTCTGAAATAAACAGAACAGCAGTCAAAGAGATGTCTTTAGCACAAAAAAAAAAGATAGAGTTTTATTCCGTTTCTTTACAGTTTCACCAGCATTATTTTACTACTTTTGAGGCTCTCTTTGAATGCATACTGTACGTTTTAACTCAGGGGGGTAGCTGCTGGCTCTGTCAACCCTGTGCTTTGCCATCTAGTGTTTGGAGAAGGTGAGGTAGTAAGGGAGCTGGGAGTAAAGGAATACATGTTGCAAATATCTGATCAAAACATTTAATTGGCCCAAACCGTACAGCAAAGAGGCCGTAGGGAGCTTAAAGGACACTCCTATCCATCATCTCAAACTCTTTGTCCCTTCATTTATGGTTTATTATCTTTTCAGCTCGTACATTTCTTCACAGCTTTTGAACATTTTGGTTGAGTCTCAGTTGGAGTTTTAGCCAGTAAAAAAAATAAAAAAGAAAAGGATATTTGTGAAGAAAGGGCTGAGATGTGGCACTTCCAGACAACTCTCCACAGTGGTCAGGGCTCTCCTCAGCCGAAGTAGGAGGGCGGTTATAGACTTTCTGTCTGGTTTAACATAGGTTTTACCGCTGGCAGTTACACTACTAACACGTAAAATCTTGTGCCAGGTTGGTTTATTTGGATCCTAGCAAGAACTTGTAAGTACTAATTAACCACATTCTTTTTTTGTTTTCATTTCTGCTACAATCGTTCTTCGAGAAAACAGCGGACCAGACGATGGGAGCAGAACAAAATTACTGCCATCTGGTATAAACTCTGCTCTTAATTTACACTTTTTAGACGTTTCTATATATAAATATACTTTATTTATAAAAAAAAAAAAGGTACATCTGAAAATACTTACACAATACCTCTGTAGGTACCTCACTTTCTAAGTGGCATTTGGAAAAGGGGAAAAGGGATTTGGACTGAGGTCATTAATTACATAAAAAAAGCAACAACTCAGTTCACTGACATCGTATCTAAAGTTGTGCTCGTACAAACAACTAATCAGATTTTAGCATAAGTGCTATCTTTTTGTGCTCTAGGTTAAATGTGTTTGTGGGTTTGAAAATGATTTACAAAAAAAAAAAAAAAAAAAAAAAAAAAAACCCTCCCCCCTTCAGGTTTTTATCTGGGCCCCTTTAACCTTTTTCTTTTTAAAAAAAAAC